AAATATTTGAACTCATTGAAGAAAAAATAGATTCTTCCGGAATGTGATGTCATTCATTTTAGCTTATACGTTGACCCATCTTTCGATCAACCTATAATATATTACATTTTCATAGGATCGGTTTTACTTTGGCTGCTGGTCTCAAATGATAAGACGATATATTTTAACTTTACTAACTGTATTATAATATCAATTTTAAAGTTCTCTCTGAAGCGATTTGAGCTCAATATGAAAAATCAGAGATTTTCATACAACAAAACCTTTTTTTACAAATACTGTGAAATTTACACTCGGGCACCGTTATTTTGTGCAACCAAAAATTCCATAGGTTAAATGTTTAGCTAATAAAATCAGGTAATCCAATCAAAGGATTTTGTTTTTTTTAAATTCACATCTGTTTAGGACATTTTTTGAATACATACTTAGTAATCAGTAATTAGATTTACTATATTCCAAATTTTAATAGTCATAGAATCTACCAGAAGTAGTGGGTCACAAGAGACGGGGATTTGATTTCCAGTCTCTGTCGCACGCATATAATTTTCATGTTTGTTATGCTGCCTTCAACGATATTTGGTATGATAGTGCACTCCAGACGTCCGGGGGTAGAGTCACTTAGGGAACTGTCCTCTATGGGGGAACTGTTCTTAGGGTGCAGCGGCACGAGTCCAACACTGGGTCTGACGGGGTGGGTAGGTATATCTGAAACTAAAACAAATAAATTGTTTCTGGTTCTGACGAGCTTTTATTTATTTATTTTTCATTTCTTTATCTATCATTATGTAAAACACATGCAAATAAGGTCAACAAAATCATTCACATTTTAGCTTCATATGTTCCATTCGTGATAAACTAATGTCCTCGACATTCTCAAGAAACTTGCATGATTAGTGTTTGAAGGTTACTGTTTTATTTGCGGGTCATATTGTTTTTAACTTCTTTCTAATTTTTTCCATGAAATGACTGTTTACCATGTTGACATATTACGTAATTATTGACATGCTACATTTTTCGTCACGGGGAATTACTTTTCGATAATGAGGTTTGTGGAGTTTATCTTGCATATTTGTAGTGTACATATGCCAGTATATGTCCAACTTTTATAACTTTAGTTTTTTTTTGTAACGCCAAGCGTCTGCGCAATTTCCACACCTGTTTCATTGTTTTATATGTTTGATGTTGAACTCAATTTAATTTGTGATATATAGTTATTTCGAATTTCTCGGTCATGATTTTCAAAGTATTAGCTCCTTCCTCGTTTTTTGGCCATGCATCAAACATTTTTACATTGCCTTTATTGTTATCGCTGGAATTTTTAGGGGTCCAAGCCCTTTCAGGGCTGGAGCCTTTTTGTTATCGCTGGGATTTTTCTTCTTTCTGTCGTTTTTTTTCCTCAGCTCGTTTGAGAAAATGGCTGAACAAAATGTTTTCAAACTTGCTGTGGTGGTGATGCGAACTTGTGCACTGAACTTTCTAAATTTGTATTTGTTAACTGCCATGGCCGCTATCGAGGGTCAAAATTCGACCAGAGGTGTCTAGGGCTTTCAAATTTTTCACTGTACATAGTACTGCCTAAGTGCAATAAATATCGCCAATAAAAACTTTAGCAGTCACTTTTTCTGTTATGTTCATTTTTAAAAATGCTGACTCAGCATGTTCTTCATTAAAATCTCTTCTTCTCCTGAACAACATGGCCGGTCGCTATGAAACTTAGTATATAGCTTCTACTAACCTATATCTACTTAGTTTGGAATTTGATTGGTCCATTAATTTGGTAGACATCTTGGATTTAGTGAAAACCGAAAGCAGCCATTTTGACCACTTTGTGGCGGCTTAGAAGTCCCATTTTTGTGCCTGTTAGAGGTCACGTGACTTTTGCCGTTATTTTGTTTTTCGAAAAATCTTCTTCTCATAAAGTTGCAGACCGATTGACATGAAATTTGGCATAATCAATCTACATGAATAGCTCTTTGCGCATTTCTTTCTCATTGGTGCTTCAACCAATTAACTGCTGATTCTGCATATAACATGTCTGGTCATTGCTGCATAAGAGAAAATAATATATTTTCGATAAGTCACATGGTTTGGCCGCCATCTTGGATTTAACGAAAAACTGATCAAAAGTTTAGGCATTTGTTTCTCAAAGGTGCATCCACAGATCAACTAAATAAATATGTGTGTGACATGTCTGGTCATAACTGCATATGAGAAAAATAATATATTTTCGATCAGTCACATGATTTGATCGCCATCTTGGATCATAGGAAAAATCTGACCAAAAGTTTAGGCAATTGTTTCTCAAAGGTGCATCCACAGATCAACTAAATAAATATGTGTGTGATATGTCTGGTCATAACTGCATATGAGAAAAATAATATATTTTCGATCAGTCACATGGTTTGATCGCCATCTTGGATCATAGGAAAAATCTGACCAAAAGTTTAGGCAATTGTTTCTCAAAGGTGCATCCACAGATCAACTAAATGAATATGTATATGACATGTCATGTATATAAAAAAATAATAATAAAATTTCACGTGGTTTGGCCGCCATCTCGGATTTTGTGAAAACAGAAAATGGGCACTTCCATGTGTATTGGTCCCATCAGAGTGAAAATTGGTATGTGCATTCTAATCTTGAGATCCATTTTTCCAACTGAATGGCACATGGCTAGGTCCTGTGGCGCCCATGGGGTGGGGGCTTCTAACCTCATAAATATGCATAACGGTTATATCTCAAACACTGTTGCAGTTTGGAAGATGAAACCTGTGTTATTATGACAATGTTGAACAAGAGATTTGATTAAAATAACAGATTGCCATATATGCTCATGTGATCATTAATATGCATAACTGTTATATCTCAAACACGGTTGCAGTTAGGAAGATGAATTCTGTATTATTGTGACAATATTGAACAAGAGATTTGATTAAAATAAGATGACCATATATGGTCATGTGAGTCCATTAATATGCATAACTGTCATATCTGTAACACTGTTGCAGAACAGAACATGCAACCAGCGCCATAATGAAGATGTAACTGACATAAGAAATGGCCATATATGATAATGTAACCTCATAAATATGCATAAGCGATACACCCCAATTTTACCCCCAAATTGTTATCAGTTATATGATTATGCTGATGTTGAATATAAAGAAATATTTAACATGTATACACTCCATTATTCAGGGAAATTTATATCAACACACCATTTCAATGAGTATCTTCAGATAACTTTTTTGACAACTCTGCTTGCACCCCGCCAATGCTGCTTGCAGCTTTGATTATTTATTGGGTTTATTTTTAAAATTATAACCAATTTACAGAAATGAACGTGGAACAATGTACCAGGAGACACCCAGTTAACCTGTAATATATATACAGATTTATATGAACGTGTTTGACACGTCACGCTCATATGTAATTGATTTATTTTAACATTCTCTACAAGACTACAACCAAGAACAAACATTGATATTGCTGAATTATCAGTAATCGTCTGCTGGCATTGACCTAAAGCACTGACTAATTATTGTAAACATCACGTGGTACATATAGACCAATGGGGATGCGCTGTTGCAAGGCGCGGCATTACAATACTATAAGGTTATTACGAGAATACCTCAAAGTATGCATTCAGATAGTACAGCTGGAGTATCGACCGACACGCAGCGAAGGTCGATGCGCGCCGTACCGTCTGATTGCTTCTTTGAGGTATTCCCGTAATAACCTTATTATTATACATCTCTTCCTTCCAAGGATACATTCATGGGAATGCCGAAATTCAAAATGTTTAGAGCCGAACCCGCGAACTTCTTTGTGTATTAGAGGACGCTTACGCTTACATTTCATATTTGGAATTCGCATTTCCTTATATGGTAGGATGAACATACCTCGTAAAATACCGCAC